TTTCTTCAATTTATGATGTTCTAACTTCTATTTTTTTTTAATGTTTTAGATGGTTTTCTCAATATTATTATGAGCATCATTGCATTTTATTTTTCTTTTTGTCCATTTACTTTTTGTATAATTTTTGTATGTGCAAAATTTCCTTTGTCAATAATTCTTTATGCATACAAATAAAATCCATAGTTCTGGTTAGTTCAAAAAAGGACATTAGTTATTACTGCAGAAGAAAAGGCATGATTGAGAAAACCTTTTTGAATTACCCTTAATAGTCAAATTGCTGGGACACAGTGATTCTAATAACTACGGAGACTCGGTTGAAGGCTATGTGGGCAAAGTCAATGGTGATTGCTATGTCGGATCTGAGAAATTATTATTATTATTATTATTATTATTATTATTTTGTGGTAAGATTTCAAGTATAGAAGATTACAAGTTGGCAGTGAATGATGGACCGTGGATGTTGTTTGACTATTACTTGACTACAAGTAAGTGGTGTCCAAACTTCGATCGATTAAAGCAACCATTGATAAGGTGATAGGGGGCACGGAAGCAGAATCGTGTTAGTTTAAGGACAAAAACCTGAAACACAATAAAAAATACAAGAACAAAAGGAAAGGGACGAAATTTATGACGAAAATAAAGAAAGATATGAAGTAAACAATAGGATAATGATCAAGGAGAATATCCTCTAGAGCACCTGCTTCTAGGAACGTCAACCTTCGAAGACACCACAAGAGTTTGATCACGCTTTTGATCACATCTTTTCTCACATGAGATGTCACTACAAAGCACTAAGACTCACAAGAGTTTATAAACTCTAAAAATAAATAATTTCATTCAACTTCTATTCTTTTTTACAAGAGGGAGCATGCCTAATTTATATAGGCTCATAGAAAAGAATATTTCCTAAAATTAAAACCCTAATTTCCTAATACTAAAAGGAGAAATAATATAAAATAATTATAAAATATTCAGCCACATAATTTAGGAGATGTGATCCTAAAATTATGGGATTACAAAATTTAGAAATTAATACTATAATTAATTCTAACCTTTGACTAGACTCAAAATAGGAAATCAAATCAAAGGACCATTAAAATAGGAAATAATTTAGGAGACAATCAAGGGATCATAAAGGATTTAAAATCACGCCACCCTTGACTTCTTCGCGAGGGTTTCATGCCTCCTTGCTTGCAAGAGGCTCAACTTGTAGTTTTCCTTGCATTGGGCTAAGGTCTGCATCTCTTGGGCTTGACTCTTTATAGTTTGGATCTTAAGTACATTATACATATATAGATGCTCTCCTTTGGGCTTGAGAGCAGTGCCCCAATGCTCTCCAAGATCTTGAACTTCTTGCACAAGACTAAACAAGGCTTGCTTCATGGCTTTAGTTCGGGCTTTGTCATTGGACCTCCAATAATTGTAATGGGTCTTTAGGTACGTTGGATTGGAAGTATTGGGCTCCTTCTATGTCACCATACTCATGATTACCATCCTTAAGCTTCATTGCCATTAATGCTATGTCACCCGTGCCATGGGGTCCATCATAAGGTGCTAGCCTAAGAGAGATTTCCAGATCTACCTTAGGTAGTGTTTTTGGAATGATGAATTGGATTGAAATTTTAGATTTAAATTTTTTCATTTCAAATCTCACATTTAAAATCCATATATATAAGATCATTTGTTTGTGTATTTTCAAATAAAGAAGATAGATGAGTTGAGATTTGAAACGAAATAGAAAAATTGAGAATGATGTTTTTATCTCTATTTTTTAATCGATAAGAGAATAGAATGAGAGATAAGAATATATATGAGAATCATAGAGGTATCAATAGTGATGCAAACATGAAGAGAACAAGATGTTTAAACTGATTGGAATTTCAAATACTTTGGGTATAAAGGGAATTTGAAATTACCCTTGAATTGTAATAAATAACAAATGGATTTGAATTTGAATGAAATTCAAATTCATAAATTTTTGTCTACCCAAATGAGGGTTTTAGACCAAATCAAAATCGCTACTCCAAACATAGCATTGGAATACTATGATGAGGAAATTCTGACTTGTATGGAAGATAGATAGAATTAGTGAAACAATAAGGGTTAATATATTCATTTCATTGCACACTAAAGGAAAATATGCCAGGGTAGGAGTGGAATTGATTTGGCTGAACAACTTCATCCGATTTATATAATGGAGGAGAAGGATTATTCAGTAGAATATGAAGGATTGCATTTGTTGTGCTTCAAATGCCATAAGGTTGGACATTTAGAGAAAGGAATGCTCTTTGAAACAAGGAGAAGAAGAGTAGATTCAAAAGGAGGGTTGGGAAAAATTGTCACAAATAAATTGTGGGGAATATGGTCAACTGTGCAGAAGTATCAGAGCAGGAGGACTATGGGGTGGTAGAATGGACTATGGGGTGGTAGAATGGAGGTTGAAAAGTGGGGAGATATAGTTATGAGGAGAAACGGGTTATGATTTAGGAGTTTAATAGAGGAAGTAAAATAAGAAAATAATGAAGTAGGTATTAAAGAGAATGAAATGGACATTGAAGCTCAATCAAATCAGCTGTGTAGATGAAAGATTCATTGAAGAATTGTGAGTATGGAAAATGTAAATATGGAGGAAAAAAGCAATCTGGAGGAAAAATGAAGTGGAGGAGAACAGTAATGTCCATGTGGTTGAGGAAAGATCATGTGAAGAACTTCAAAGTCAAAACTGGGTTATGGCTGAAGTTGTAGTCAGGAAGAATTGCTTGAAGAGACTAACAAACATAGACCGGAGGATGGTATGGAAGTAGAGGTACATATAACTATCAACAATCTAGCAAAGTAATACACATTTGTTTGGGATTGACCAAGATGTTGTGGCTTTCATGTGGTATTAGTGAGAAGTCATTGATGGTAGGGAGGTTCAATTCTAGACCACCTTATAGTAAAGAATACCTTGAACCTGTGCAGAATATGGAAACTGATGAGGATGGTTTTAGAAGAGTTAGAAGGGTTGATTCCGAGATTGATTGAGGTAAGTCACATTTATTTATAGTTTGTTGATGGAAAGAAACCTTGTAATTTATAATTGTAAAGGAGCAAGAGGAAGAGGTTTTGAAAGAAATCTAAGAATGATTGTTAATGAAAATAAAATAGCTTTTATGGCTTTGGTAGAAAGAAGGGCTAGTAAGGCTAAAGCTAAATGCTTATTTCAAAGTTTGCAGTTTGAAGAGTTTGTTAATGAGATTGAGGGTAGAGGTTGTGGGAGGAATTTGGGTAGCATGGAAGCCACTTTTGATTGATGTTACTTTAGTTGAAAGTGATTTTCAATTTAGACAATTTTTTTGGTTTCTTTTGAAAACGAGGAGCCACGGATGCTAACCATTACACATGTTTTGCCTAAAGAAAAGTTGAAGAGGGTGTTGGTGAGGAAATGAGTAGTAGGTTGAGAATATGAGAAAAGAGTGGCTGTAGTGGGAGATTTTAACAATATAAGAAAAGACGAAAAAATGGATGGGGCACTCATAAATGTGAATAGATGCATAAGTTTCAAAAAAGGATTGATAATGCTTATTACTGGAACTGCAAAACTATGGACAAAAATACATTGGAAAGGGCCACTTATTTCCTAGTTATGAGAGAATCTATGAGAAGTTGGAGGGGGTTTATAATGAAGCATGGAGATGAAGAGATTTGAAGATGTAGAAGTTAAGGGAGGGACAAGACTCAGTTTCTTAGATCACAATCTGCTAATTGTTAAGCTTGTTGAAACAAAAAGTAGGTATAGCAATAGACCATTTTGGTTTGAGGCTATATGGACTTTGCATAAGGAGTTTAGGGGTTTTATGATAGGAAAATGGAGAGAAGATGCAGATGCATATGATTGACTTGAAAAGATGGAATAAGGATGTGTATAAGAATATTGAGAGAAGAAAAATAAGTCTAATGAATAGGATGGATGGTGTCCAAAAGAATACTAGTTTTACGAAACGACCATTTGCTTACTTGTTTAAAATTGAAAGGCAGCAGCATGAAGATGCAACTTGTAATATCTCCCCCTTTAACATAACGTTAGCTTAACCACCATTATACACTCTACCATGGTAAATAAAAAAACAACAGATCATATTTAAAGTTTATCATGGTAAAAAAGACTTGACTTTAGTTAAAAAAATAGCTAACATTTGTAAAGGAAAAGACTAAGTTTGAAAGTCTACTATGGTAAAAAAAAATTGAACTTATAATATTAAAATCGATATAATAGCCCTTGACCATAGTAGAAAGGGCCATGGTAGAAAATAATGAAACCAAGCTTAGGGAGTGCTACCATAGTAGAAAAGATAAAACTACTGTATCAAAAAGACTACTACAGGAGAAAAGTTTAAAATCAATTTATTAAGCATAAATCTTTCAAAAACAGGGATCCCAAATAAGTCAAATAAATTCATTTCTAAATCTACAATGGTTAGAAACCTTTCTAAATCAAAGTTTAAAGCATCTAGGAAGCATGGAAGTTAAATGAGAGTAAAAACAAATTAATCCAAAGCCCAAAAGGGCAAATTCTCACACACAGGCATGTATGTTGTGGTGCAAAATGCATTTGCCATGACATATAACACAAAGGCCATCCTTTTCAACAAAGCACATAGTGTGCCACGTGTCCTCACTATGTCATATGCCGAAGTGCATTATGCTAATACATGACAATGATTTCTGCAATAATGACAGCACCCCTAACTAACTTCCAACACATGCCTTTTTGTGTCTGACATCTAATTGAGGTGATTCCAGTGCCAACACATAATTTATTTAGCTATCTACCTAATGGCATACATAGGTTTCATCTAAAAATAATATCATACCATAGAGTTGGACACCCAAACCAAAATAACTTCTTTTTATACAATTTCCAATTTCAAGGTGTCCAAACTCACAACCCGATGCCATTAGCCCACATCAAGGCTTGAACCACACTCAATAGACTCTAAATAACCATACAAATAATCACAATCAACAAAATTACTTTAAAATGGAATTTGACTACTCAAACTGCAATACTTTAACCAAAAGGGGAAAAAATCACCATTTTAATTTTAAAACATCTTTAGCCAATAGAAATCCAATTAAACTATAAAATCAACACTTTCACTAGTATCTTGGCCTAACACATCATTTAATCAGCAACACAAAATCTATGGCCAAAATACATGTTCAATGGTTATTGGTGCAAGTGAATCAAAATATTAATCCCTAGTTGGCAAATATATATTCAAAGTACACGTAAAACTAAAGAGCATTACAATAATCAACAAGCTCTACTCTTCATCCCTTTTGCCTTTCCCTTTCTCCCTAGCAGAGCCTTCACTTTAAAATGTTAACCATAGGGTCGAGAACAATGTCTAAGGAACCAAATAAACCAATTCAATCACATGCAAGTTTAGAAAGTAAATGAGCATGCAAAATAGGCAATATAAACCAACTAACCTTGTTTATATAATACATATACCAATGCATGATCAATCACAACCTCCCTTATATCCTCTTCTTACCTTTGACTAAGTCTATGGGATATTACTACAATCAAGGCTATGTCCATGTGACTGAACTAGCTCAAGCTCACCAATTTGAGGGTTGACCTGACCAAAGGATGTACGCTCACCTTCAGACCATAGATTTTCCCTTCTCGAATACCAGGGTGTCATATGCCCAACCCATACCCGATTAAGGGTGATAACAGGGCTATCATAATAATAAACCAAACATCAAGGCCTCCCACTTTGTCTAATCCTATAGGGTGAACTTCCACCCTTTTACACACTAATCATACCTAACAAGTATGTGATTCACAATGTGTTTCTGAACATATTCATTCTCAACATACAATCATTTAATTTACAACAATTTTCACCATCATATATTCACAACCATACATATCTTTCAAAATTTTCTAATCCACTTTACATGATTTGAAAAGCAAAACTTAGCATTTATATACATATCAAAATATCACTTATTTCACAACAACACACGTAAACAAACCAAAGCAAGATGAAGGAATTAGGTGACTTTTCTATAATATGATTTACCATACATTAAGACTTTTAACATTATATGATTTTTCTTTATTTGTCACAATGCTAGAAATACTCTGAACAAGATAGCTTCAACTAATGTGAACTTTATATCTCTAATATTAATATAATATTGAGGCCATGCATTGACTAGACCATATTAAAAATAGAGTATTTTTTATTTTAATCGGGATGAATTTTTTTCTTTCACAAATCATGCATTGCATTTGTATGCTTTTTTTTAATAAATTATGTAGGAAGTATCACTTAAAAGTTCTATGCATTTGAAAAAAAATAAAGCAAAATTCATTACCCAAATTTCAAGGCTTTATTACCTCTTTTTAACACTTCCCACTTGAAATACAAACAAAAATAATTCAGCACCACCAAAATAATATTAAGAGAATCCGGATACATTTTATGCTTCGAAGCTCATTTGCAATATGTTTTTCTAATTGTTATGTTGCAGGAGATATTCCAAGTAGCATTGAAGACTTAACCATGTTGAAAGTGTTGCATCTTTCTCAAAATAATTTGGAAGGTACGCTTTCAGTAAATAATAGGTGGTCTTCATTATTTCCCTTGATAAAATATTGCAATCATATAACAGTGCAACTTAGTTTTTAGTTTTTTTTTTTTTTTGGGTTTAGTTGTTGTATTGCAAGTTGCATTTCTAAAAGCAATTGGTGATGTCACAGGCAGTTTTTGTTTAAAATTTAACTTTTAATAAGCTCTTTGCTGCATATCAAAAGGCTTAGAAACATTACTATGCTTCAAGCAAGTGGGTTCACTTTAACACCTATAATTTATTTTTTTAAAATCCCCACTGCATCATTGTTTTTGCCTTTTTGTACACGGTGTTAAAAAATATCATAGTATAAATGCAGTTTGAAAAAAATATATAACTAGATAGTAATTAAATTACAAATCTATAGAATATTCTATGTTCAGTATTTAAATCTTACTATAAAATAGGTGTGGCTTATACATCCAAGTTTTTTTTTAATTTTTGGTTTTTATTTTTATAGGTTTTATTGGATTTTTTGTTCAAAAGAATAGGTTTTATTGGAACTTTCATATAATCTGAAAATATAGAAGGTATTTCTCCACAAGCCCTTTATACACTTTTTTTATATTCTTTAACATATCTCTATATATTTTATTGAGCCTCCTAAACTTTTTTTTAATACTTCAATATTTTCTTGTACCTTTTAGTAAAGTTCAATACAAAGAAATAACATTTTTTCTTTTTTAAAAAAATATTTATCTATCTCCAATCTCCAACAGACATTTTTTGTTGGTTTTTATGTTTTGTCAATATAAGTATGTATCTTTCCAATACCTATGATATACATCATGTGAAGAAAAATAAAAATAATAAAATGGTTATATTTTTGTATCTAAATTCATCAAAAAACTGTCTCAAATTCAGTCTCTAAATTTATATAAAAAAAAAGTGAAATCAACATAAGATAATTTAGAGATTACTAGTTTCGTCTCTAATATTTTTATTTTTTTTAAGTCAAACTTTGAGTGAAAAATGCTAGAATTTGAGATGGGTTTGAAGACAATTTTGTTTTTAGAAATGAGTATAATCTGTCTCTATGTTTTAAAATATTTTTTAAATTAAATCCATCTATAAAATTATAACAGTCTCTGATTCCATCTCTATTAGAGATTATATTTAGTTCTTCTCTATTTTAATAATTTTTTGTAGCGATATTGTCCTCTCAAATCTAAATTAGCCAATTTTCGTTATCATGTTGGAAGAGATATTTTAAGCAATCAATCATCTTACAAATCTTAAAATTATATGCTTAACTACATGTCTTTAACTTGTCTTGCCACTTCATTGAAGAAGCATTGAAAACTTAAATATGCTTTCAATAAATCATAATGTTTTAGTGTTATATTGTTCAACTAGCTTTCATTGCTTGAGACAACGTCTCTAAACAACATGTTGTGATACTTTCTCGGTGCCTATTTACAAGAAACAATTGATAGTTTAATACTTTCAGCTCATATGTAACCAGGCCATATACCAAGAGGCATTGGAAACTTGACTATGCTCCAAGGGTTATATCTTGATGACAATAATTTTCAAGGTATTATCTTTAATCAAATTATGATATGCTAGTTAATATTTATGTGCTGCTTTTCATATACTTTACTGTAAGCAACATTGCATTTTTCTTCCTCTTTTGTTTTTTTTTGTTTTGTTGTGTTTTTGTTTCGTCTTGTTTTGTTTTTTTGTGGGTTGTGTCCTACTCTTTTAGTGTCTCTTTTGGTTATGGCATCGTAGCATATGTTTCTAAACATGGTTTTCTGTACATCATCCCAAGGAACTATTTCTTTTTTCTTTATCATATGAATGGAGATATTTATACAGAAATTTTGGTGATATTCGAAAATTATAAAAACATGAGCTCAGATGCTAATAAGCTTTCATCAATTATCTTTGATAATATGTGGAAGTTGAATTTTTTTTTATATCAGTGACAGTAATTTTTGAGGATGCAGGCCGCCAATTGTATCTCATGGATTTCCAAAATTTTAAAAAGAATGTTGTCTTTTCATTTCAATAAGTTATCTGGTTAGAAATTTAATGTGTCATCATTCGCCTTCAAATAAATTTTAGTAGATACAAACTGTATAAAATCTGTCTTCACAAAACGAACAACAATTGGATTTTTTTAAAAATTCTTATAGTTTTCAACAATTTAATATCTAAGGTCTATAATCCTTTATAAGTTATACCGTCACTTTTATAGATGCCATTGACTTTCAAATATTGTTTTAAGAAATTAAGAAGTCAATCCGACAAACTTTTTTTTTTCTCCAAATGCATTCCACAAACATTAGGTGTTGCTCAATTTTTTTTATTTTAATATAATACAGTTTTGAAAATAATAAATGCGATACATGCTTACCCTGCTACATATAATTATATGTTTATTTGATAAATATAAATGGTCTTTAATTTTAAACTAAATCTTTCATATTAATTTTTTTATACATTAGGATGGTTTGAACCCTTTGCCTCTACCTATACGACAACTGCCCGTACCACCTGGGCTAATTTTAGAAATATTAGTTTTAAAGCGTTTATAAATCAAAATTTTAAAAATTAATTTACATTTCACACAAGCAATTTAAACGAGTGTTGTTTTGTTTGTTGGATGGAATTTAAGATTAGTCACACTGTCCAAACAAGGTTGGATTGATACCGTAGAACAAATAGGGAGAGGCCAAAAAAAAAAAAAACTGCCGTGTTAAGCTATGAAGTAAAAATAAAATTTAGCTGGTTCATACTATTGACCCAGCATTAATGTGAGTATCATATATTTGTCTAATCAATCAGATATTTAAGGTTTGTTTGGTTTTGTTCTCATTTTTTGTTTTGTTTTGTTTTGTTTTGTTTTGTTTTTTATTTTGTTTTTAGCCTTTGGAGTTCTCATCATAGGTCCATTTTTTGTTTTCAAAAACTATTTTATGAACCAATTTTTTAAAATAATTTTAAAAACAAAACAAAATAAAATATGTTCGATTTTGTTAATTTGAAAACAATTTCAGAGTAAAAAAAATGGCTGGTAGATGGTTGCTAATGGTTAATGATGATGGTCTATAATAGCAGTTGATTATAGCTGAAGGTAATTTATAATATAGTCAAATGTAGTATGCTTTATAAATAAAAAATAAAAACTGAAAATAGCTCTAAGATGTTTCCTTTCTTAATTTTAAAAACAAAAAAAAGAGAATAGTTTTGAAAACATTTAAATCCAAAATATCTACCCAAACAAATTTTTTTATTTTAAAAAATATGAATCAATTTTTGAATACATAAATCAAATAGACCCTTATATTTTCTTTTTCCTTTATTTTAGTGTTAACTTAAACTTACTTTGCATAAATTTAAAATAGTGTTTTTAATTTCAGGTTTAATACCTGCAGAAATAGGAAATCTTTATAAGCTTGAGCAGCTAGTGTTGGGGCGATAACAAATTGAGTGGATCTATTCCATTGGAAATTTTTAATATATCAACTTTGCAAGCGTTGGATCTTTCAAATAATTCTTTATCAGGTAACCTTCCATCAGATTTTGGATGTGGCCTTCCTAATCTAGAAGAGCTATATGTATGGAGCAACAAACTTTTTGGGATAATGCCAGATACTATTTCCAATGCCTCTAAGCTGATCATTCTAGCATTGACAGAAAACAATTTCAAAGGGGTTTTACCAAGCACACTTGGGGATTTAAGATACTTGAAAAAACTTGGAATAGAGGGTAATAGTTTCACCACATCAGATGCTTCCAATTCTAAAACCAACTTGATTACCTCATTGACTAATTGTAGACATTTGGAATTTTTGTTCCTCTCAGCAAATCCATTTTTTATAAAACTTCCCAAGTCCATTGGAAACTTTTCTGATTCTCTACAGGAGTTGGACATTGTTTCTTGTGGTATCAATGGTAACATACCATCAGAAATAGGGAATCTTACTAATTTGATTAAACTATCTTTGGATGAAAATGTTTTGAATGGGCCAATCCCAATAACAATTAGCAACTTACAAGCTCTGCAGTATTTGAGTCTCGAAGGCAATGACTTGCATGGCTTAATTGTTCATGACCTTTGTGAAATCAAACCACTTGGTTATTTACATCTAAGCCAAAACAAGTTTTCTGGAGCAATGACACCTTGTTTAGGAAATCTTTCTTCTTTAAGAGAACTTCACTTGGGCTCAAATAAGCTGGCTTTAGAGATACCATCTTCCTTTTGGAATTTGAAAGACATACTGGAAGTAAACTTGTCTTCCAACCATTTTGTTGGGAATCTTTCATCAAGGGTTGAGAACTTAAAAGCTCTTTCTTTATTAGATTTATCTCAAAATCATATTTCAAGCAACATTCCAACAACTATGGGTAGTTTGCAAAATCTACAAATTCTCTCTCTTGCACATAACAAATTGGAAGGATCTATTCCTAGATCACTTGGGAATTTGCTAAATTTACAAAATTTAGACCTTTCCCAAAATAATTTGTCTGGGAAGATTCCTAAATCTTTGGAGTTACTTATTGATCTTAAGTATGTCAATCTCTCTTTTAACAAACTCCAAGGAGAGATTCCAGATGGAGGTGTTTTTAAAAATTTGACTCCTGAATCTTTTATGATGAATCTAGCTCTCTGTGGTCTGCCGCAACTCCAAGTGCCTCCATGCAAAAAAGAAATAGGAGAAAGATCAATGACAAAATTTCTTTTATTGAAATGCATACTACCCATAGTTGTGTCAATAATTTTGGTTGTTTTAGGCATTATCCTTTTAAGGCTTAAACGACAAAATTCAAGGTGTCTAGCTGAAAGGGATTTATCAACTTTAGGAATGCCAAGAAGGATTTCTTATTTTGAAATCCTAGAAGCAACCAATGGATTTGATGAGAGCAACATACTTGGAAGAGGTAGTTATGGTATTGTTTTCAAAGGAAAGCTTTCTAGTGGAATGGTTGTTGCAGTTAAGATATTCAATTTTGATTCGCAAGTAATGGTAGCAAGCTTTGAAAAAGAATGTGACATACTGCGTAATGTGCGCCATCGCAATCTAGTGAAGGTTATAAGTTGTTGTTCTAATGTTGATTTCAAATCTTTAGTAATGGAGTTCATGCCCAATGGGAGCCTTGAAAAATGGTTATATTCTCACAACTATTTTTTAGGTTTTCTTCAAAGGTTGGATATAATGATAAATGTAGCATTTGCTTTGGAGTATCTCCATTCTTGAATTGGATGATGAAATGATTGCTCATGTGAGCGACTTTGGAATTTCCAAACTTTTAAATGAAGGGGAATCTAAAACATACACAGAGACTATACCTACAATTGGCTATATGGCACCTGGTAATTATTCTAAACATAGTGCCTCATTTTTTCTTTTATAGCTGTATTCTAACAATATTTATCTTAACATATTATATTCACAAAAGCTTATTACATGTATTGTAGCAATATTATATAAAATTAGTGCATGACAAATTAATTAATATTTATGGTAAACTACATGTGTTCTTAAAACACATTAAGGTTCTTGATTTGATTCATATAAATATGAAGTTTAATTGATGAATTACAATTTATCATAGTTATCTATTGCTAAAACTTAGTCCCTCAATTATTATAAAGAGAGAAATGTTCTTGGACATTTCTTTCTAATTTTTCCATGAAACAGAAAATGAAGAGGTTTCCTATCTTATCAAATTTTCAATCGTTGAACTGAGTTAGTTAAATTTGATCTTTCTATATGTATATTAATTTTTTAAACTAATTTATTTTAGAACATTAAAATGAAGATGTATTCTAAAATACGTGTGTGTAGGGTGTGTAGAAGTGGATGTATGTGCATGCATTAAAATAGTTTTATTTGTTTCTTCTACATGAACATTCTTTTGCATATCATCATCGTAAAGTTTTCTATACCTATCTTTTAGGTTAACAAAAATATGCATCTGAAAAAAATATATTATCATAAATTCAAAGACATGATGTTAATAAGAAATCATAATTAAAGACACCCACTAGGAAGTGCAACATAAACTTTTTTCTCAATTGTAAATGAATGTTGTCTTATTCAGTTATTAGTTAAATTTTATTACTTGAATTCAATTATATACAGAGTATGGATCTTCTGGAGTTGTTTCAACAAAAATAGATGTGTATAGCTATGGAATTATGCTATTGGAGGTGTTTACAAGAAAAAGGCCCACAGAAGATATATTTGTCTCTGCATTGAGCTTGAAGAGCTGGGTAAGTGAGTCAATGCCACATGCAATAATTCAAGTCATGGATTCCAATTTATTGCAAGGAGTTCATGAACATCATAAAAACAATATATTGACATCTACATTCTCCATTCTTGAATTGGCCTTAAATTGTTGCACCGATCTTCCAGAAGCACGTGGCAATATGATTGATGTTGCAGCATCATTGAACAAGATCAAGGCCATGTTTTTGCATAAGCGCCATGTTTAAATAAGGATTAACTCTCTTATAATTTGTATTGTTATTTGTTCTTCCTTTTTTATTACCCACTTTCAGAATATGTTGGACTCTTTACTTACTATATATGTGCATTTTTTTCCCAAGCATAAAAGACAAGATATTAGTTATAATAATTTTTGTATTACATTGTCTGTCAACCTTTTTGATCAATTAATGATATATAGTATATACAAATAAATTTCTCAAGTGGGTGTCCAATAACCCAACCAATTATATAAGTTCTTTTTGTTAACTGGTAATCACTTTTCATTGTGACACGCCACCTTTGTAGAAACTTACAAGAGAGCTTACGTGCCATTAGGCTATAAAGCCATTGGTAGAAAATATTAAAAGTTAACTAGATCAATTGTTTGAAAGTTTTAGTAATTTGTAACTATGTTGTATTTGATATTAATTTATTATGACTTGCCTTCTCTACTTTTTAACAAGCAATATTGAAAATTAATTTCTATAGGTTAAAGGACATTTGCGTCCTTCAACTATATTTGTGCAGAAATATATGGTATATTAGATTTTTTTATGGTGCAATGTTCTACTTAAATAATTGAAAATAGTGCAATATTGTATTTATGGTTAAGACATATTAACTTCGTTTGTTGAACTAGGAAATTCAAAATACAATACCATGTAAGTGAGTTCTTTATTGGAAATTATATGGACAGTTCAAGTTTTACCAAAGACTATTATTGTGCCATTGTATTAATGTCTTAGATATTTTTTTCCTTTGGTCACATCAATGAGTTGTAAAATAAGTGATTATCAAATCACCAATGCTAGCAACAACACAAATAATCAAATGGTAGTTAGTCAAAATAGTTGGTTGAAATGATATTTTCACATTTTATATGGATAAAAACAAATATTAGTCTATTGGAATTTATTTGTAATGTAAGGGTTTTTGTTGATGTTAATTTTCTTATAAATTCCCTTTTCTATAAATTTTGGGTCATTTTCTATAATTTTTAGGTCATTTTCCATAATTTTTTGTGTTAACCAATAATCAAATTAATGGATATTTAACAGATGTGATATTACTCTGTTTTTAATACGTGAAGCACAATATTGCCCCACCCTTGATTTCAAGGTGCTCAATGCCCTTGAAAAAGTTTAGGGGTAAATTAACCTTATTTCTTAAGGTGAATGATGAATTATAAACTAGTTTACATGTTTGTAGTATAGCCCAATGGCCTTGGCCTTGTCAGAATGGCTAGCCCAATAGCTTTGGGCTTATTCTTGCACACATAGTGCGAGTTTTCAGCCTAACAATTATTATTATAAATTTGATTTTATAATTAGATAAAAATAACTGTGGTGTTACTTAAAAAATTAGCCCAAGTTTAATTAAGAATGATCAATGATCTATTTTTAGGCACAAGGATATCAACAAATATTATTATTATTATTTTTATTATTTTTTACATGAGGAAACGCCACCTCACGGTTTCAATTTATTTTTATTTCATAGTGAATTATTTTATTTAAAGATGTATTGTTTCAATAATTATTTTACAATAAATATAATATTTAATCAATCTTAGGTGGCATTTACTTCAGGGTCTTAATTTATTTTTATTTGATGGTTAATTATTTTATTTTAATATTTATTTTTTTCAAATATTATGTTATGATAAATCTAATATTTAATAAATATTTTATTTTATTGATCTTAGGTGGCGTTTCTTGGTTGAGAAAATGCCACCTAATTGTTTTCATTTATTTTATTTAATGATATAATTTTCAATAATTATTTTATAATTAATATAATAACTAATGTTATTTTTAAAATATATAATTATTAAATGCTATTTATTAAATATAAAAAAATTAAAAAGTATTTAAATGAGAGAGGTGGTATTTGTAAATGATAGAAAACCACCTCTCTCTTGTAAATTAAATTATTTAATATTTTTTTAAATTATATAATTATTTAATAGTATTTATTAAATATGAAATATTAAAAATTATTTAAATGAGAGAGGTGGCATTTCCACATGATATAAATGCCACCTCTCTCTTATAAATTAAATTCTTTATTAATTAATGGTATTTTTAAAATATATAATTATTAAATATCATTTATTACCTAGGTAATGGAAACGCCACCTCTCCAAAATTAAATATGTTATTAATTAGCTTAATTTTCAAAAAAATTAGAGAGGTGCCACCACTGCTATTTTTTAAATTATTTTTTAAAATTGAAGATAGTTTTTCAATTATATACTATGACACTTCTTGGAATTTCTAAACCCTAATCTCCTCATCCTAATCGTTCTCTCCCTCCAATTGCTTGCTCTTCTCTCTTGCAACCCATGAGTTATCTGTTTTTAATTGTTGAAGTTGCTCTCTTTCGTCTTCTCTAGCCAAGGTTGATTGTACTAGTACACTAATAACAGGTTCCTTTTTTCATTTTTCTTACCTTTTATCTACCTATCCATATATATATATATATATATGGATCTTCATGATTCTGCTTTTGTTTATCTTTAGTTGATAATTTTTATTTCCACTCTTGAAGGGTTTGTTCTTTTAATTTGCTAACATGCATATCTATTGATGAAACAATTTTTTAGGTATAAAGCTTTATTAAGATCTGGGGAACAGATAGGGGATCTTCAATCGTCATGCTTTTAGTGACCAATGGCTTGGTTTTGTCAAGTTTTGGACTTTCAAGGAGCTAAGGATGATAATCTCTGTTAATTATTGAGGAAGAAACTTGTTTGTAATTTGGAATTTGCCCCCATTTTTTCTAGTATGTATTAGTTCAATGTTGAAAGACAACCAAAACTTGTATGGCCACAAGGACGTATTAAAGGAATATTAAAATATATAATAAATTGAATAAAAGGAGTCGGATAAGAGTCTCACTAGATTCAGGCGTAGAAGAATCTATCTCGACTACTCACACAAGTTTAGACTGTTAGAATCTATACTATAGTGCACAGCAGATGTACCAAAGAGAAAGAGAGAGAGAGGAAGAGTAAACTAGAGAATTGTTTGCTCTGGGATGGATTCTACCTCCAGCATCTTATCACTATTTATAGTGAAGAGAGGCCTCCGTATAAAAGGAAGATCCAATCAGTATTAATTCACCTCATTGTAGAGAAATATATTGATTGAAATAATCACAATTAAGACAGAGGATCATACATTAATATCAAATTCTACTAAACTCATCATGACTAGAGTTATAACTCATCATGGGCAGAAATTAATTCAAAATTCTAACATGTATGTTGGGGGTGGGCCCCTAAAATTTGATTGGTCCTTTAAATAATTTTGGGAATTTTTTATTTTACTTGAGAAAAATGTGAAAATTAGTGTTAGACCCATATTTTAAGCAGTTTTCATTTTGCCCCCATATGTTCTTTTCTAGATTCGTCCCGGTGTGGCTAGATGATAGCTTATCTTTTCTTTATAGATTGTATAAATTGTTTTAGTTACTCTGTATTTAATTTTTACCAACATGCACGTGCATTTCTTTGACTTTATAGATGTAAATAATAGATTGAGTTTCTTGTTGATTAATGAAGACAGTGTGTTTTGGCTTTCAGTTAAAGAGATTAATATTCCTGTGATCAATTAGTTGTCTAAAACTACTATTACACAAAATTGCAGAAGTTATTTTGGAGACAAACAAGTTTTAAATTTGGTGGAGTAGACAAGTATATAATGATTCATGTAAGCATATACAATTTTTGTTTTACCAGACATAATTAAAATTGATGACTTGCTAAATGTGTTGAAAACTTGTGTATCTTGTGGGACCAAATAAAGATGAAATTTTCAGGCACTTTGATGTTTCTTTACATTAGTAATAATTTTTTAAAATTTAATTTTTATTTATTTCGTTGTGGTATTGTTTTTTGCAATAATGTTGCAAAAATTGCTGGTAAACCTCATTATATCTATTAGCTAATATTTAATTTATCCTTTTCTTTATCCTTAGTTTTTTGTATAGTGTGAAATTGATTATTTATTTTTAACTGTATGAATAAAGTTTATTGTATAAATTAATTGTTTATTTACTAAAAAATATTATGTATATGAATTGATGGATATATAAGATATTATATATATATATATATATATTTAAAAGGTAGTGCTTTCTAATTTTTTTTAAAGTAAAAGGCCTTTTATTTTTTAAAAAGTAAATAGAGAGGTAGCACTTCATTAAGAAAATGCCACCATTGTTGCTAACTTCTTGTGGGGTTTAATGAAATGTCATCTAAGATTTAAGATAGCATTAAATCTTATTGCATTTTATAAATATCGTAAAACTAAAATTTTAAACGCCATCAAAGCCCATTTCTGTAGCAGTGTAATTTAAATTTAAATATCCATTTATTTTGAGCCTATTACGTAATGAAAAAACATTAAGGTTTGTAAATGCAATAAATTCTGAGTGATCATGAAATTTTATGAAAAGGATGATAAAATCCCTTCTCCAAATTCCTTACAAATATAACTGGTGGAATATAATAAAATTTTAGATAATGCTATAATGGTCTCCATATTTTCTGCGTGGATACATAATTTTGAAGTCTAAGTTAATCCATATGCCTAGAGAAAATGGCACAATAATAAAAGTATTGGAAGCAAAATAATTTATATATAAATATATAAGTCATTTCATTTTGAAATTTGAACATTATGTCTGCTTAAAGGACTTAACCCATTACTAAAGCCAACAAGAAAAAGAAGTCACTAATGGTGGCAATTTATCTTATTATAGTCGGTGTTCATATTTTTCTTTGCTCAAACCTGCTCAATTACTCATTTATTAAAAGAACTGACACAATAATGGGGATTTTGTTTTTGGCTTTGCAGTATGTTCTATGTTAGAAATTGAATAGTCAGTGTATATTATTTTTGTTGAGTTCAACTATTTAAAATGTGATTTTATTAATGGAGTGAAGTAAGTGTTATGTAAATTATAATAATAATAATAATAATAATAATAATTCCCATGC